TGAAAATTTCCCGATAAAGCCAAGCTTTGTAAAACTTTAGTGAATTTCTCCGCCCATGGTAATAAATGAGTATTGATCCAATAATCCCGTCCTGCAAGCACAGGTATCGAAGATGCATAAGTCCTGCCTTGCCCATATAAAACCCTTCAACCGATGCTCCAAACCCGATGAAAGAAACAAGAAAATAGGGTATTTTAAAGTATAATCTAAGACGATCCCGGTTGTGACTTGGTTTCCAGCTGGGTCTTGGTCTCGGACTCATCTTGTGACTGCGGTGGCGCTGCTTGGATTGACGTGGCTTGATTCGATGCATCTCGTAACGCTATTTTGGCAGCTACCTCAGCTAACACTCGAGCAGGAGGCTGTAATGGCGCATCAGTTGAGGGTTCGGGTAATTTTTCCATGGGCAATTCAGTGGTCATCGTCGAGGATACTCTGGTTTTGCCTTCAGTGGTAGGCTGGGTTGGCACATCAGTTGAGCGTTCAAGCGATGTTTCTATGGGAATTCTAGTTGGCGTCGTGGAGGGTAACTCCATTTTGGTTTCGGCGGTAGATTGTGTTGGAGCGGCTGTAGAACACTTTGGTGGCGCTTCTGCCGGTGCTTCAGTAGTTTGCTTCGAGACTAGTTCAGCTGATTCTCCGGTTGGGGCCTCGACTGAAGACTCGATTTGTACATTGATGTGTTGTTCAGGGGCTACTTCTCCAGATGTCCCGGTGACTCCCTGCGAGGGTGATTCAAGCGGGACTTCCGAGGTCGCCTTGACTGGGTCAAGAGGGAGGGGCGTGTCGCCGGTTGGCACTTCAGGAGTATCCTGGGTTGACTCTTGAACAGGAGCTTGAGTTGGCGGACGGCATGGTTGCTTTGATTCCACTCCCTGGTCTGTAATTGTATCCGGCAACGACGGCTCCTCTTCAACCTTTGGCAAAACTGTGACCACATCTGGGGTAGTAGGGTCCTGAGGCATTGTTGATGGTGGAGAGGCTATCTGTATCTGAGATGGCCCAGGCGGCAGAGATGATGGTGGAGACATGGTCGTGGGTGCAGTCGGTTTATCTTGGGCTTCGGAATGGCGTTGATCCCTTGTAGCATCAGCGGGAGGAGCACGGTTGGCCTTAGCGTCCCTATTGAAAAAGGACAAACTTGTTCGGGAAGATGATCTCTCATGATCGGAGGTGGGAGGACTTTGAGATCGTCCGAGATCCGACTCCTTGTCCTTCATGCCATCTTTTACGTGGGAGACCTTGGCCTTAAATTTACTGAAAAAGCTCTTACGCTCTTCGTCGCCATTATCCTTGGTTACAGGTGGGCTTGTAACGCTGGTGCCACTGACCACATCGGATGACTGAGAGAGCAGGGTCGAAGTCGAGCTTTCCTTATTGACCCGCGTTGTGTCATTCGCCATAATCTGGTTATGTATATTCGAACTTGCGAGTGATGAAGTGCTAAAGCCGGCACCTGCATGAGACCCAAGTGGCGCTGGTGGGGAGATGCTGAGTGAAACTGGTTCACCGGCCCGTCTTGACGACCGATGGAACCTCCAGCTCCGCCTCTTTTCCTTCTTATCAGTATTCTCCTCAGTATGTTCCAGATCTGATTGGTCCGTTACATAGTGCAGGGAAGGCGAAGGTGTTCGAGATAGAGTTGACTTTAGGATACTCTCCGTGGCCACTTGAGGACCGGATCTCTCCTCGGAACCGCTCTGGCTCGCGAGCGGCGTCATCGCGGTGGCCAGGCTGCTTGTAGTAAGGATCCTCGGCGTCGAGACGTGTGATTGATCCAGATCCGTGCCGGATAATCCCCGCACCAAAGGTGGAGGCGACGAGCCAACATCGTATGAATTGTCGTGAAGTGACTGCGTTGAGCTTTGTGCACTTTCGCTGGCACTACCTGGTATCCGACGTTTTTTCCTTAGTCTGTTAGGCTGCCTACCATCTTCAGGAGGGCTAGACCATGCAAAGAGCGATGACAGTTTCCGTTCCTTGTTTGGAGTTACCACCGGTTTTGAAATAATGGGTCCTGGAACATTCTGTTGAGGCCGGGCCTCAGCGTCTGCTTTCGCCGCGGGAGGATTAGTATCAAGACTGAGGTCCGGTCTCGTATTTTTGGCTTCGTTCATGGCTTCTATTGATGACACACGGCTCTGAGATCGTGATGCTAGGAGTGGGGAGGCGGATGGTGACAGTCCACCGGTCGGAGGGTTTGACGGGCGGGGTGACCGATTGAAGGCAGTCGGCGACAGACCAGGTGGCCGCTTTGAAGGAACGGTATTGCTTCGATGGACACCAAAGCTGCTAACCGACCTTGGAGTTGCTGGACTCGTAACGTTCCCTCCAGATTGTTTGGAAGTCTTGGAAGATACAGATACGTTCCTACGCAAAGTTTCATATTTGCGAAGGCTATCCGCACCGCCACTGGCGTTGGATGCTGAACGACGTATGCCGGATTTTGCTGGATGCGCATATATACCTTCTTGCATCTCTTTGACGGTCTGTTCGTCTGCCGCAGTGCCCGTCATGCCGAACAAAAAGTTGTCCTGGTTCTCGATGAGGAAAACAAGAACGTCTTGGCTCAATTTATATTCTTGTGGCGACATGTCATGATTGGGATGGGATAGTAAACCAGGCTGGAATATTGCCGCAAGATTGCCTGCCGTCATTCGATTAAGATCGGACTTGGACGCGAAGACAGTTAGCAGATCTAGTATGTAAAGAAGAAGCTGTCGGTTCAATGGAGGCAGCTCTTTGATCAGCCGCTGGTATGTCAGCACAGCTTCTTCTCTGGTAAGGGCAGCTGTGTTGTCCGACTGTTCATCTTCCCCGTCAACCTGGGTTTGGGGGTGGCCGCGGCGCAAAGGGTCACGGAACCGTTCATAGAAATCAAGCGGGACGATCGGCTCGGGGAGCTGGTTCAGGTATCGGCGTAGGATGTTAGCAGCGTCGTGCACAGTGTATCCAGTCCAATCAAGACCTTTCCCATATCGATCTGGAGAGTTAAAAATTTCCTGTAGATCCTTGATTCTCTTGGCGGAACCGCTCAGGCGAAAAATACCCTCGACGTCCGTAGCTATAACGGAAGAAGAAAGACATCAGACGATATGACCCCCCTTAGGCTAGAAGACGCAGAGAAGACCCTACCCTTTTCTTTTAAGAATACCCCACATTTGGCCACCACTATGGGAACGTAGCCATATACGAAGCTCTTGCCATCATCGCCGGTAAGAGATATGGCGACATTTGCGTATTTGATGCTGACGTTGAGAGGAACGCCGAAGATGCCGGCAGACTGCGGGGCTATATACCAAAAAGACCAATCAGCTTAGCTTCACAAATAAGTAAGGAGAGCCCTGCTTCTTATAAATGATGTAGGGAGCAGTGGCAGCACGTGCATTATGCAGCTGTGCGGGAGCGATGGCAAGATGGAGAAGAGATCGAAGGGAGAAAGGGCCTTTTTTTCTTTTTTTTTTTTTTTTTTTTTTGTTTTTTTTTGGGGGGGGGGGGGGGGGGGGGTTAGAGAAATACCAGTCTCGTCCTTCTTTGTGTTCCGCTTGAATTGTTTCCACCAGGAAGCTAGATCCCGCCTTGACGGAGCAGAGGGAACATCTGGGGACGATGACGATGCAGCCCCCGAAGCTGCAGGAGGAGCGCGTGCAGACGGCGACCCGGAGCTCTGCTGACGGTTTGCCATGGCGGCAAAACAAGCTTCTCTAGATAAGGAGAGGGAAGTTCCCCCAGCAGAGGAGGGGTTGGTGGTGTGTGCACGAGTGCTAACGTTCCGCGAAGTTGTGAGCGGTCAAAGCTGGGATGAAAGCAAGAGAGAGAGAAAGAGAGAGAGAGGGAGAGAGAGAGGAAAGCCAAGAAACAGAGGAGGTCCGGACCGTCCTGCCTGAAACAGGGTGGATGGACGGATGGGGACTAGAAGTTCAAAAGAACAGGAACCACAAAACGTTAAATAAGGCTGAGCGGTGTTTAATGTGGGCTGGCCGGTTTTTCCGGGTCGAGATTTGGGGACAAAGGGGAAAGAAAAGGAAAAAGAGAGAAAAAGTAAAAAAAAAAAATATAAAATATAAAAAGATAAAAAGATAAGGGCTAAGATAAAAACAAAATAAAATGCGGGATGTTCTTGAAGCTATCACAATGAGAGTCGACAGGATCGAAGCCCGTTCGTGATGCGAATTTCCGCTGCTCGGGGATCATGGACGAGGATGGCTTGGCATCGAGAGCATCGACGATGAAGCGCACCACTAGGCCAGCGACAGTAGAGGAGAGAGGAGAGGAGTTGTTGTTAGGGGAGTGTTCAGTGAGGGTTCGAAACGGTCGGGGACGGAGGTGAAGTTCCAGAACGAACGAACGGCGCGGTTAGTTCCCCAGCCCACAAGGACGAGGTGGAGACTGGGATGAAACGAAGGGAACCAAGATGAAGAGAGAAGAACTAGACGCGACAGCGACGGAGCATGACGGAACGGGGCTGTTGTTGGAGGTGGCGCGGGGGGGAGGTCAGGCTGTGGAGCGAAGGGAGACGAGCAGTGAGAGAGGAAGACGTTTATTGAAAAAGAAAAAAAGTAAAAAAAAAAAGGGGGGCGGAGGATGACGGGGCAGTGAGAGAGACAAGAAGAACGGTTGAGCGAGGAAATGAAAAAAAAAACAAGAGAGATTTGAAAGAGAAGCAGAGGAGAGAAAGCGGAACAAGCAACCTTTCGACGGGGAGAACGAGCCCTGGCCAATCAGCGTGCGCCGTTTTGCTGCCGTGTCTTGCCTCTTCCGGTAAGGCGACTCTGGTTTAGTCACGTGGCGATGAGACGGAAAAACTTTACGCCGGGTAAAACTTTCGTGGAAAGAGCAAACCAGCAAGAGAGCTAAAACAAAAAAAACCAAAAAAAGAGAAAGAAAGAGAGAGAGTGAGAAAGAACCAAGAAGGAGAGAAAGAGCGAAAAAGAGATATATATATATATATTTATATATATAAGAAGAGGGAAAGCACCACTGTCATTCACTCACCAGCCATGGACGGGTAATTCCTTCCCCTGACACCATTTCTCCCCCCTCTTCTTTCCCTTTTCCCTTCACTGTTCTTTTGGGTTGGTGTTGTTGCAGTTTGATCCTTCCCGCTGACTGACAGATGTTGTTTACTCGTTCCAGACTCACCGCAGCCGAGCAGCAGGAACTCCAGAAGCGCATGGAGAAGAAGCAGATCAAAGAGTTTATGGGGGTAATAAAAACCAGCATCCCAAGCAAAAAACACACCGCCAGGCTAACCATCAAAAAAAAAAAAAAAAAACAGGCCTATTCCATGATCGTCAACCGCTGCTTCGACGACTGCATCAACGACTTCACCACAAAGTCTCTCATCTCGCGCGAAGAGGGCTGCGTCAACCGCTGCTTCGACAAGTTCATGAAGACCGCCGAGCGCGTCAACCAGCGCTTCCAGGAGCAAGGAAACGCCATGATGCAGTCCGGCCAGATCCCCGGCAGATAATCCCCTCTTCCCTTTTTCCCCTCTTCGCCCTTTCGGCTTCAATCGTGCTTTTGGTTCGGCCTCTGCTGCATTCTCCGGGCGCTTTTTCCTTTTTTCTTTTTTTCTTTTTTCTTTTTTTTTAAAAATCTTTGTTGGTTTCCCCTGGGTTGCCTGTGTTCTTCTGTGGTTTTGGTTCGGGTTCATCGGATGAACGGGGATATGTTACCTGAAAGCAGCATTATAACTGTACACTACTGTCACCTAATTTTTTTTTTTTTTTTTTTTTTTTTTTTTTTTTTCCCCAAGTGGGATTTAGAGACTCTAGTCCTCGTTCGCTCTCCTGTTTGTGTTCTGCTTCTGTCATCTCTCTGCCCACGACCCGCGCAGACCAACCTGTTAGTCACCCGTACGGCTCGCCATTCTACAATCGACACCGCCTTGAGACTTGCCCGGACCAAGGGCTTACCGCACCTCTTTCACCAGTTATCTTGCTTGATCGCCCCCATCCCGGAGAATGCTGACGATCGACCCGCTCGTCTGCTCTCTTCCCGTGATGGGCACGAACCTGCACCCCCTTTTCATCTATTCCTCGAATATGCGGAGCGTCAATTGACAAAACTCGATGCACTGTGCATTCTTAGATGGCAATAGGGTGGGGGATTGTTTTGTTGAGCCATCAGATCCTTCGTTTCTTAATAAGACGTGGAATTTGAGAGCATTCAACCTAGGCTAGGCGCCGGGGCAATTCAAAATGCCGACAAAGCTGACAACCCAGGCGAAATGCCCTATGTATTTCTAAAACGCGTAGCCCCTCTACTTCTGTGCGATGATGTTAGAATACTCCACCCGCCGCGAGAAACACTGCTTTTGAACTAGAAACCCCATGACTCTGCTTTTTGTTATTTTTAATTTTAAATTTTTGCTCTCTTTTTTTTTTTTTTTTTTTGGTGGTGTTGGGGAACTCTCCTCCGCAACCTTGCGTGTGACGGAGCGTTTGGGTTGTGGATATGCGGGGAAAGCACTTTTTTGTGGCGGTCGAGATTCGAATATCACTTGGAGCTTGCTCTAGTTATTGCTTGCTTGCTTGCTTCTTTACCCCCCAACCCTCATCGTAGTCTGGCCGTGTCTTGGAATCTTGTCGCTGATCGTACTCGAACATGAAAAAAAAAAAAAAAAAAAAAAAAAAAGAAAAGAAAAGAAAAGGAAAAAAGAGTCAATACTCCGTACAGAGCTCGAATCACGGTATTGACGCAGGGGTGATGATCCGTTGATACATACGGAGTAGAGCTATCTGGAATCCCCAAGCAGCTTCCGGGTCGGCGATAACAGGCGACGGACCGTAGAAAATCGCGAAAGAGAGCGAAACACGGACCAGTTGGATGTTTCCCCCTCACCGTGAAGCTCCGAGAGAACCCCACCTCCCTCCGCCGCGCTGCCCCTCCTCACGAATTGTCTCGAAACAGAATAAATATCCTGCCCTGTACGATCCCACCCGTCTGCCCGCCCAAGTCGCACCGCAGCTTCTCCTCTTCGCCGGCTTCTCCTCATCCTTCCCTGCCCCAACGGAGGAGACCTATAAAAAAGCCCCCCCGATCCAACCCCTGCCCGCCCCATCCCCAGCAAATTTTCCCTGGTCATCTTTTCCCGCGATCTTACCGTCAAACTTGTCTTCATTTTTTGTCAACTAATTCATAACACACAAGGATCGATTTGAAGCAGTCAATTCACAATGGCCGATACCGTAGGAAAAGTGAGTCACTCTTTCCATCTCATTTGTCTTACCTTAAGAGTGGACAATTGGCTGATTTCAAGATGACTTCATAGACTATCACTTGCAAAGTAAGACCTCAGGAGCCCTTTTCCAACGGCACCCTAGATCGTCTAGAGGGGGGCTATTGTCAAAGCCTCAAACCTCAGCGCGAATTACACAATACACGTAAGGAACGAAAAAAAGGCTGACCGGACCCAGGCGGCGGTGGCTTGGGAGGCCGCCAAACCATTGTCGATTGAAGACATCGAGGTGGCCCCGCCCAAAGCCCACGAAGTTCGGATTCAAATCTACTACACCGGTGTTTGTCATACAGGTACGGCTGGTCCCGGAGTTCTCCGGTCCCATTATTTTCTCCCAACTGTAAGTGATCCAGGGCGCTGAGCTTGCGTGCAGATGCGTACACTCTTTCCGGCAAGGATCCCGAAGGCGCATTCCCAGTCGTTCTCGGACATGAAGGTGCAGGTATCGTGGAATCAGTTGGCGAAGGCGTCACTTCCGTGAAGCCAGGCGACCACGTCGTCGCTCTTTAGTATGCATTTCCTGCGTCTACTTACTGACCCAATCCCTGAATCTCTCTCTCTCTCTCTCTCTCTCTGTGTGTGTGTCTCTCTGTGTGTGTGTGTAGATATTTCTAACATCCTGCAGCACCCCAGAGTGCCGGGAATGCAAGTTCTGCAAATCTGGAAAGACCAACCTTTGCGGTAAGATCAGAGCCACTCAAGGCAAAGGCGTCATGCCCGATGGAACTAGCCGGTTCAAATGCCGTGGAAAGGACCTATTACACTTCATGGGCACGTCCACGTTTTCTCAATACACCGTTGTCGCCGATATCTCCGTCGTGGCCGTCACCGACAAGGCTCCCATGGATCGCACGTGCCTTTTGGGCTGTGGTATCACCACAGGCTATGGCGCCGCGGTTGTGACGGCCAAGGTTGAAGAGGGCTCTACCGTTGCCGTGTTCGGCGCCGGATGCGTCGGTCTCTCCGTGATCCAGGGCGCCGTGAAGAACAAAGCCGGCAAGATCATCGTTGTGGATGTCAACGACAGCAAAGAATCGTGGTCTCGAAAGTTCGGTGCCACCGACTTCGTCAATCCTACCAAGCTGGGCAACAAGAGCATCCAGGAGCACCTCATTGAGATGACGGATGGCGGGTGTGACTACACGTTCGACTGCACTGGCAACGTTGGCGTCATGCGCGCCGCTCTCGAGGCATGCCACAAGGGATGGGGTCAGAGTATCGTCATCGGCGTTGCGGCTGCCGGACAAGAGATCTCCACCAGACGTAAGTTGTCACCTGGCAAGAGCGCGCGCGCACCCAGATGCGCTATAAGGATCATAGCCCAAAAAAAAAAAAAAAAAAAAAAAAAAATTCCTAACTAATATCTGGATATTACAGCATTCCAACTCGTCACGGGCCGTGTATGGAAAGGTTGCGCTTTTGGTGGTATCAAGGGCCGCTCGCAGCTCCCCGACCTCGTCGACGATTACCTCAAGGGTGATCTCAAAGTTGACGAATTTATCACCCACCGCGAACCGTTGGCCAACATCAACGCCGCTTTTGAGCAAATGAAGGCTGGAGACTGCATTCGATGCGTGGTGGATACAAGGACTTGAACAAAAAAAACAGAAACAACGGTGCCAAAATTGCCCGTAAAATTTTTTGGGGATTCGTGAACCCCGGAGTGTTCAATACATATATGTATGTATGTATGTAACGCCCCCCTTGTCATTTTCTTTGTGCCTGGGATTTTAATGCCAGTCCCTCACAGATATCACTGTGTACATATAATACACTAGCTGCTCTTGTCAGATATCATCATATCAACTAAGGTAGCTCTGATGCGCGGCAAATGATGAATCCATAATAAGCCGTTGTGGTTTCGGCAAACAAAACACTCCATGTGTGATGTCAGTCATGACAAGGTGATTAAACTGAGACTTAAAACCAGCTCCTGTTTTTTTTTGTGGGAAAAAAAAATAAAATAAAATAAAATCTATGCTCTGTACTCTGTACGGAGTAGACTATCACAATGTGTTCATTGTGGTAACAGTGGATTTGGAGGTATAAATATCTCTCGGCCCCCATGCTTGTCTCCCGTTTGCCTTCCATGCAACTCATCATCAAACGCACAATAGAACTTTGCAAATATCAGCCTTGTCGTACTAAGCTAGCCTGCATGCGTAGACCAGCACGTAGTGTGTCTGAATCCTGGAAAGGTCATTGGCGCACCACAAATAGCATACATAGACCTGCATAGAAGGAAATGGTGGCTCTCAGTTCTTTTTGGTCAGGCATGCACCACAGCGCCACCTTGTTACTTACATAGTACAGGGTACAGAGCACAGTGTAAGCATTCAGCTGGTGTCCCACTTTTCCACTGGGGTGGTGGTTACTTTTGCGGGGGTTGGTCGGGATGCTTCGACAGCGAGGTGTGGTTACAGTTACAAGGAGGCCTGCAACTTGGTGTCCTGATAGCAGTTGTGACTTCGAGAAATTGCTCCATACCGAGTTCATAGTTAGCTATAATGCGCGACTGCATACTCACTCGCATAAAAGTCTAGGAAAATGGCAAACTTGATATTATATATTTTTTAGGAAGTAAGAGATCGAGGCAAATACCCTTCATGCAAAATATCCTCCCGTGTTACTCGGTAGTTACTCTGAAATCGTCACCAGCGCGATTACTTCGTCTTTCTCATGTCTAAGCTCCACGGGTTTTACTCTCACGTTTGTGCTGGTATCCTTGATTTACACGGCGGGAAGGGTCCATCTCTATCCAGGCCCTGGTCCTCATGCGGGGCTCAGCCTCAGGAGTAACCACAGCACATAACCCTTTCGTCGCACTGTATTCCGTAGTTGGCTGGGTGCAAGCGGACCACGTCGGGAAGGGAGATTTTGGAATGAAGATCCCGAATCCTTGGGATGCACTAACCTTCAGAGTTAACCTAAACTAAACCCTGGGAGGTGGGTCTCGAACCTCGGTGTCACCGCTGGAAGGTCAGGCTTCTGGGCCCAAACACACGAGTCAGAGAGAACTTCGTGGTGCAGAGCCTTACACCTGCTCGGTGAAGGATTTCTCTCTCTGTCCACAAGCAACCCACATATGTAGATAGGTTGTGTGAATGAAGTTGCTGTTAGATAGTGCTAACAAGGTGCTTCCTGCTGCCATGTTAAAAGCACAGTGCTTCCTGTGGGAGGGTTCATCTGTATTCAACAAGCGGTGCACAGCCTTGAAGCATAGCAACCAACAAGAGTCTGGAGAGGACTCTGCGAAACCTGGTCTCCACCGTGGGTAAGCCAAGCTGGGCCAGTAATTGGCCGGACGCAGTGAATGCCTTCAGCGGCCCTCGCTGCCAGGACGCACGTCAACCCCCCCCCCTCCTTGTTGAGTGCCGGGCTAGGTTGTCAGCATTCCTGTGAGAAAGCCGCTTCATTGGACGGTCTAAATTTCACTGTGGATGTACACGGTGATCCCTTTGATCTGCATCTTCTTGCGCACAAGTGACTTGTCGTGAAGGTGAATCAGCTCAAACTTGAGAAGAGCACAAATATCCCTTCCGCTTTGTGGGATCTTGAATGAATTCAACATCGAGATCCCTTTTGATATTCTTTTACTCACCCTAGAGCTAGCTTGATCTCTGATCAAACTCTTCTTGTATCATCTCAGCCTGCATGACCTTGTCTTTGTCGCATCGGAACTCGCGAAACTGCTCGACCGCAGCGAGACCGAGCGCACGAATCGAAGAATTATCACCAAGATGAAAGCCCTCACAAAACGTGTACCCACGGCTGATTCTCTGAGAGTTTCGCTCGCTGCTTCGACAGAATATGTCAAGAGCTGGATTTCCTCTACCTCAACGGCCTATGATCCCCTGTATTTTGAAAACGAAACCCCAAGGAAGCCGGCGGACGTAAAAGGATGGCCGACAAAGCCTGGACCGTTGAAAAAGAGCGGGGCTGCGTATTTTGTGCGTCTGGTCTGCGATATTCTTGCGGTTGCAGCAACGTTTCCATTCCTGTTACTTGGGGTATATGCGGCGCAGAAGCATGGGAAACCCGTGGTCGAGAAGGAATGGGCCACATTGCAGGAATCCATGAAAGTGGTATGTGCTTCCTTTTTGTTCGAAGAGAAAGGGAGGATGTTTTCTAAGTTCAATGACCTTCTCTCGCATCGATAGGCTGTCACTTCGTTCCCGATCGTTTTCTCTGCGGTGATGGGCCGTATGACCCGGACTGCTGCCACATGGCGACTTGAACGTGGAGTTGAGCTCGGCCAAGTAGAGCAACTGTTTTGGAGTTCAACGGTCTTTAGCACCGTGTCGACGCAGTTTCTACTTGGCTCCTTTAATAAGCTCACAATTGGCCTCCTCGTCCTATGGGCGTTATCGCCTCTAGGCGGTCAATCATCACTACGTATCGTTAGTACAGCTGCCCGGCCGGAGATATCCAAGGCTAATATAACAGTTCTCAATACCGAAAAACTTTCATTCTTTGAAATTGGTGGCGATATACTAGCAGGGATACCAACATTAAACGGGTTATATCTAACAGCTTTGATGGCTCCACACCATTCCAAAGTATCTCCCGCGGATCTCTGGGGAAATGTGAAAGTACCATTAATGTCAAGCTTTGGCTCCTCTATCAAAGCTAATTCCAGTGGATGGTACGACATTAACCAGCACGAAGTGCTATATTCCTCCCTGATCGGTGTTCCCACCATAGGGCTCTCGCAGATAGGAAACAGCACCTTCAACATGGAGACATCTTACTTTGACATCGACTGCTATAATCTAACGCAGGCCGAGCCCGTGTCCCTCGAACGAAACATCACATTTAAGACCCACAAGGACACTCCGCCACCTCGTGTCGTTCGCTTCCCAGGCGGCGCGTACATCGGGTCAAATGGCACTGAGGATTGCTCAAAACACAACTGCCAGATCTCGTTTTCTCTAGGAATGAGCCATTACGTTAAGGATTGGAGCTACCCAAGCGGAAATTCCACATTATTTCGTAAGGTTAAAGGGAACGAGGAAACAATCCTCTCATCGCCGCCAACGTTGCTTTTCCAGGCCAGACACTCTAACAAAACGGTTGCGTATTGCGGCATAAAGCGAGTCTTTGTCGAATCGGCCGTTACATGTGTCGGCGACCCGTCGCTCCTCCGCAAGCCCCAGTGCGCCGTAACTGCCACGCGAGACAGCCTCCGCCCGCATGAGGCTTCAGATATCACTCCCTTCTTGTTTGCGGGAACGTTTATAAACTTCTCTTCGCGTCTCGCCCAGTCAGCCGGCCAGGGCCACGCAGGCATAGCAACGATCACCGAACGCTACTTGAACAATACCGAGAACCCACTCCTCGCCGAAGCTAGAGAAATGGCTCTTCATAACTTACCAATAAACGCCTTCTCCCAGCGACTCACTCAAATCATAAACACATACTTCCTTCCTAGCCTTCTACCAGAGGGTATAGTCGGCAATATTTCTCTCGTTCTCTCCCAAACCCCCGTATATCAAGAGCAATCTTATGCCCACGATTCGTGGACGCGGTCTGTTCTCGCCACCGTAAACACTCCCGCAGGTGGGATCTACGTTGTCTCCGGTGGCTGGATGACCGTATTCATCGTCTCGTCTTTGGTTATGTTTGTTGCCGCGGTGTTGTCAGCCATTGTAGCTCACAGAACGTCGATCCCGGATGTCCTAGGATATGTCTCGAGCTTGACGAGAGACGCAATTTATTTTCCATTACCGAATGGAGGTTCAAGACTGGATGGGTTGGAGAGATCGAGGATTTTAAAGGATCGCTTGGTGAGGCTAGGTGATGTCCAGGGCATGGATAATAGAGCCGGGCATCTCGCGTTTGCTGAGGCGAAGGCTGCTATGCCAGCAAAGAAGGGCAGGTTTTATGGATAGACAATGCGAACACGACTTTATGCTGCACACTTGATCTTCAACTTTTAATGACTTACACGATCTGCACAAGACGGACTACTAAATTTTAATGGTGGGCATGGACTTCTGTTCCCAAAAAAAAAAAAAAGGAAAAGGAAAAAAAAAAAGAAAAAGAAAAAAAACCGAAAAAAGAAAAAAGAAATAAAAAGGGAGACTACAAGAAAAGAAAATGTTCTAGGTAAATAGATTCATACACAATACATCTTGAGACAATTGATACTTTATCAACATGTCACCGCGGGAAAACATCCGTATCGATATGGCCTAAGGACGGAGTAGATCGGATTTTGGCGGTGAGGGTGAGCAGAATAACCACCAGGGTGCGCAATCCAACTTCACTCCCAACCTTGTCGACGGCGACCCGACATCGTACGTAATTCTTTGAGATCCTCACATCATGGATGTCCCAGATCTTTATCAGTCGCCGTCCATTCCCTCCCGCCGAAAACAACAGTCCTCTTCTTCCCAGGCCGTGTCCATGCTCTCGTCTCCGGCCGCGCAAACATTTGCGCATATTCACCCCTTGCTCGTGCTCTCCGGGTTCGCAATCCGGTTTCAGGCACTTGTGGATGATCCCGTATCTGCATTGGCCGGTTTACTGCCTGCAGTATGCGCGGTGCAAGCTGCCTACGTGATTATCTGTCTACCTGCCGCTGGAAAGGATGGCCTTGGGAAAGAAAAGGGGAAATCGGGACACAAGCGGAGGGCTGGAGCAGCGGGCAGCAGCGGAGATGGTGACAGCAGACTGGGCGAAAGAATAGTGGTATGTAATCTCTCTCTCTCTCTCACTCTCTCTCTCTTGTCTTTCTCTTTCGATCGCATGTTCTACTCGATGCATTGGTCTAACTGTGAATTTACAGCCAGCAATCCTATCTCTACTTTTAACTCTCCTCCTCGGTACACCTTTTCTTACCATCCTTCTCGTACTATTTGGCGCTCCCGTTACCACACACATCACGCACACCCTCCTTTGCGCTGCGCACATGTCTGTACTCTCGGGAACCAGCCTCGTTTATGTCCACGGGACTGACAGTGCCGTATGGCGGGAAATCTGGGCCGCATCGAGGCCGGTAGATAGCGTTTGGGGAGCAGCTGTTGGAACGGGCTTGGGCGCATGGCTGGGCGCGGTGCCCATTCCGTTGGATTGGTGAGTATTATATGGATTTCGAGTCCCAAAAAAAACAAAAAAGAAAAAGAAAAAAAAAATCAAGACAGAAGGTAAAGCTAATTATGGACTCAGGGATCGTCCATGGCAAGCATACCCGATTACAATCGCCACGGGTGCATATTTAGGTTATGCGCTTGGCTCCTCAATGGGGAGAACGCCACTATTTTACGGCAAGCGGATCCAGTTCGCTGACGAAGAAGAAGATGATGAAGATATCTCAACAGAAAATGAAAATCGGAAGCAGATTCAGTCGTCGGAGAATAACCCAGAGCCATCCCAAGACGCGCGAAGCAAACAGATATCACAGCAAAGCCCGAAACACAAGCAAAAACAAAAAGGTCAAAAGTCATAAGCCACGAGCACCGGATACTGGTGACCTAGTGGATCTCGTTAAGAACGTTCTGAACCAATATCCCACCGCAAGGATTTGTACTTATAGCTCATTACAAATAATTATACCGTTGATTCTTCTTTCCTCCTGCCTGCCTTCTAGCCAGTATAAGCAGTCTTTTGGAAATCGATCAGCCAATTCGAAACTTGGTCTCGAGGTAGTGATCAGGATACCACATCAATGGATTTCGTGCACGGTTCAGGTTCGGGCAGATTTGCCGCAGGTGGAAGTTCAGCAAATCCGCTTTTTTTCTTTTTCTTTTTGGTAGTTTTTTGTGGTGACCAGGTGCTCCAGTTGTCCCAGCCGCCTGTACTGCCAAAGTGCTCAGGGATCGGCTCGTCTTTGGACAACTCAGGCTCCACTGGCGGAGGCGTGGATATGAGTGCTTCAACTGAGGCATTGAGAAGATTGCCTCTTTTGCTCTTCTTCTTTATACTTGGAGGGGGGAACCAGGAGTTGACGGGCTCATAATATTGATTCGTTTCGGCGATTCCAATGTGCTCATTGGGTTCTTTCGCGCCGTCATCCTGATATGATGCTTCACCTTCGTCACCATCGATTGGTGGTTGTAGTGGTTCGTCCTCCGGCTGGTCGAAATGTTTGTTATCAGGCCGTTCGTCGATGCAGCCTTCTTTGTTGGTTTCTTCTTCAATAATAGCTGGGTCTTCGGCAGCAAGCCCTTCTCCATGGCAGCATTCGCTATCATTTCTCTCACTATGGATCACCAGGGCATTCTCAATATATGTCTCCAACGCGAAGACCCGTTTAAAATATATATCCACCACACTTTGCATCAGAAACTTATCAAATGAAGAGCTAGTCCCGATCTTTTCCAAAAATTGGTCTTGGCGAAACAGGTTCTCGTCCGCTTGAAAGGCCATCTCCATTTTACTCTTGATATATTCGGAAAACCATTGCTTGTCCCCCGGAAGCTTCGAATAGATGCTCCGTGCAGTCTTCAAAACCGTAAATATCGACACCGACGTGGAAGACCCGAGCTTCTCCATACATTTTTTCGCGAGTGCCTCCAGACCCTCTAATCCATATCTCCGTGCAGCATAGTAAGCGAGAACGCTCCGTTTGTACTCAGTTATCGGGTCCCACTCGATTCCCTTCTTGAGTGTCTGGTACTCGCCGGTGTACAGGTAATGCACAAGCGTGTGGCCCACGTCCTCATCCACGAGGGGCAGCCTGATTGACTTCTGGCCGGAGTGGTGACGAAAAGGCCCCGGATCTTCGTCCCATATGGGTGTTTCTCTGATAAAGTATTCTGGAATCGTGTACTCCGTTGTTTCGATACCAATCAGCAGAGTGACGGTTGATGTTGTATAGGGGCTAGATTAGATTAATCATCTTGATCTAGGTGAAGAGGACAGCAAGCCTTACGAAACTTCTGGCTGATCGTACTCTTTGATATCAGCGTAGTCGGAGGATATTTCGTTCACGCCATTCAGATGAATGATCGTCGAGCAGTCAGCGGTCTCCATCTCGGGAGAGAACTTCTTTCTCCTGTACAGAGGCTTTTTCTTTTTCGGATTCATCCGCCAAAAACTAAATCTTTAGGGGACAATTCTTAGGTTGTTGAAGAAAGGGAAAATTAAGGGATGTGGACAGTAGGATCCAACGGCCTTCTTGTAGCAGTCATCGGGTGGGAGGGGCAAGTTCATTCTGAGCTGTCCATGATCCGCACTGCCAATGATAAATGCGATGGTATGAGCCTTATTTAGGCAGAAAATTGACGCCCAATGTAGGCCCGCCAACTCAGATTTACATGCTACACCGGGAGATAAAGGATGGGTAGAGGGGGGTTTGGTTTGCTCGGGCTCAGATGCCGCCCAACCGTTTGGATTGGCTGTTAAGTCGCATCATCTATATACAACAGAACATGCAGTTCTGGAAAGGAGGAGAATGAGATTGCACCAATAAAAATGGCTATACACTGCAACTGAGATTGGCTGAATAGATCGGAATGCAATGGATTAAAATCATGTGGTGTACCAGAGAATTGTGAAAAAAAAAAAATGATGACCTCCGAAAGAGTATAATGATGCGGTTATCCTTCATGCAATGGGGGGAGGAATATCGACGGAAAGTTGATTGTCCCGGAGGATAAATGCGAGAGATGACGGAAGAGAAAAGAATTTTACCATCACACCAGTGACCATGGCCAGGGTATCATAACATGGGAGCATGTAGCTGGGAAAAGGAGACCAATATGGTCAATGCCAAATGGAAATTCTGATAAACATGGAATGTATGCCAAAAAAAAAAAAAAAAAAAAAAAAAAATCCGGTTTTGACCTGCAATCGAGAACCGGAGGAATTGGAAGAAATCTTTCGTCAAACCATTGTATGCAAACTATTAACTCCTCCCCATAATTTTGTCAAATGGATTCAGCCGATGAAACGAACTCTCCGATTTCATCGGATAACTCTCGAGTGACACATTCCCGCTTTTCGCTCCGCTGCTTTCACTGTTCTGCCGCCACATCCCCGAGTCCATGCGATCATGCCCCATATCTGGGTGTGACGACGTCGTAGAGGGAGAATCGGGGCTTGATGGGCGGAGAAAACTAGCCTGTCCAGAAGTCAGTCCGCCCCGAAGGATTTGCAGTTCTCGCTGCAGCTGGAGAACCTGCTTCTCAAGATGCTTCCGGGCTGCTTGTTCTCTGCGGACAATGGTTGTGAGAGCGCTGTACTGTTCGACGCTAATCCCCGGAGAGAATGAGGACGGAGTGATCGGTGGTGATGAGTGCGCTGTTGCGGTGTGTGGACGTAAGGTAGCGGTGCTGGTACGTCTGTCGGTATTCGTAGGTGAAGTTCGAGGCGGTGCGGGATCATGACCGGGCGAAACGCGCAAGAAACTCGATAGCGGAGGAAGTGGCGGTTGTAAAGCCGGATTATGAGGCTCAGTTTTGCACTCCTTCGAAGAAAGCGTGGATGGATGTGGCTGGATGGGCGATATATCAGATCCCTGCATCTTCCCGATTGCGAACTCCAAGTCCATCATTTTCACCTCGAGCGTTGCTACACGTTGCGTGAGGCTGGCGCTGTTGTCCTCTTGTATATTAGACATCAAATTGCCGAAATCGAATTGCCCCAGCTCGCCATTTGGAGCAAGACTCTCCACTCGAATTTCAGTGGGATCTTTTTCCTCTGCGGCTGTACTTCGAGTCTCGGGCCTATCTTGGATGGGGTCGGGCTCGATTCGCTTGTCAAAACTGGCCCTCCAAAGTTTCATCTCATCACTCCGTCGCCGCCACTGTATCGGCGACATGCGATGTGCTCTAGCTGATTCCCTCAAACCGTATGCGCTCCGTGAACGGCGTTTAAGCTGGGTATCGGTCTTCCGTGAAGAAATCACCGTGCTCTTCCCGTCTGTTGGTGACGGCGGTGCACTCCCGTCTTTAGAGCCTTCGTGCGCGATCTTTGATGCCAACTCCCGTGCTTCATCCGTCGACAGAACAAGGCTCGGCAGCGTTGCTCTTCGACGTGGGCGTCGTCGCTGTGATATTAACTGGGATGCGTCCTCTGCCTGCTCTGTTTCTTCTGGCGGAGACGGGAGTGCAGCAAATATGGCTTCGGTTGGAGTAGCAACACGGGAGAGGTGTTCCGGGGACGACGGTGACTTGATGGAATAGTGACCAGTTCTCGAAACCGTGACAAACGGGCTATGAGAGCTCAGTAACCCAACGGAGCCTTGCGAGGGAGTCGTAGGATGGTCTTTCACGTGAAAACCCTGCTGCTGAGCGGCAGGATCACTCTTTCGTTTGCGACCAAATAGTTTGCGCATGACTGTCCTCAGTGTGCTGGCCCTGCGACGATGCATTGTAGGGCTCTGGCCCGCTGATATCGAAACAGAACTCTGAGGGTCATGGGAGGCGAAGCGATTATGATATGATGTCCGGTCAGTGCCGTCAAAGGGCAAGGAAGAGTGCATGGGTGGATAGGATGCATGTGTCTGGCGCTGGGATGGGTCAGAGGCAATAATTGGGGTGAGCGGAGGATAGGTATTAGGACCTTGGCTGCTCTCGGTTCTTAACGCCGGGTTACTTAACGGGGCAGAGATCCTAAGATCTGCTCGACGAGGGCTCATTTTGTTGGGGCTGTTCGTGCAAGCCCACCTCGGAGCACGGATATGGAGCACAAGGGGGATTTTGGTCCTGGTTGGATGGACTCACAACGGGATAAGGTTAAGGGTAACTGCGGGACTTTCTAGAAAGGAGAGATGGGCAATCGGATGGTATGATTTGTTATTTTTCCCCGTTCCCTCACAAGGAACGACGGTGTCTCACAATCCTAGTACAGGCATCCAAACGCATGCATATCATGATCTGGACTGATGATGTGAATGAGGTTTAGTTCTCGACTGGGCTGGACGGGCCGTGAGCGCGCTAAACATGCAGGAAATGATTGGCGAACGCGACGAGGTCGCAGGGGAGCAAACGAGCGTGGAAAATGCTGAGCCAACCAACCGAAGGTGGAGCCTTGCGAGATGATAACGAAGGTGACAAATCTTCTGGTAATAACTAACATGCTCGGAGAAGCCCGGTGCAAAAGGAGAGTGAAGGCCGTCAGGGACGGAGAATATACTTCGAAAGGATTGGCAGTGTGCTGTCGTCTCATGAAAAAAATCGTCGATCAGGCATCAAGTGAGGACAGCAGAAGCCAGCCATATCCTCGGTCTTCATAAGGAGAGAGTCATGATTTCAGAAGAACAGCGCAACCAAGGACTGAACGGGCGGTCAGACTGCCGTTGGATCGTGGGTTCGTTGAATCCTTCAGGCAGTCAGTTCCACGCCGACAAGCTCACAGCATCGGCATAGGCCCGTAGGAAGGAACGAAAAGCGAAGAAAAAGAGGAAAAGAAGAGAAGGACGAAAGAAGGGAGTCGGGACGAGGAAGAAAAGGAAGAAGAAGAACGAATGTCTAGTATGGTTCCCCTTGGGAGACACACCAGGGC